TCAGCCTTCGTCCTCCTGGCTCCTGTGGCCTCCACTGCTTCCGCTTTTCCGCGCATGGACCGCGGACGTGCGCACCTTCTCAGCAATTCACCAGGGGTGGTGCTAACAGTCTCTCCTCCTGCCTCTTGAGATGGCTCACGGTACACCCAGGAGAATGGGCAAAACGGACCCATCCCCGAGTCCTCCGCCCGTATTTGCAGGCTCCTACCCAGTTGTTCCCCGGGAGTGACGACGCTTGGGGGTAAACGCTCCAAGCAGCTGCAGTGCGTGGCAGGACCCCTCCACGCGTAACCGCTTACAAAGCCCTCGTCCCTTTTGGAGCCAGATAGAGGTCCGAGGCTTTGACCCATCACAGTGCTCAGCCAGGGTCAGCAAACCATTGGAAACTAAGTTCAGCCCTGGCTCACCATGTCCTTACTCCTAGACGCCAAGGTCAGTGTTTCCGGTGACCTTGGCGTGGTCTGTCCTTTTCAGGTGGGGAGAAGCAGAACCTCAGTCCACAGCCCAGGTAGAGCACTGGGGCTCGCAGGTGTGAGACGTGTGTGAGTACAGATTGGGAGTGGAACTGGTTCCTTAATGTTCCTCAGTGTTCCGAGGGAGCCCCAGGCCAGGCTGTCAGCTTCAAGACGCCAGGGGCCTGCCCAGCTATGTAAATGAAAGGCGTGCCAGGGCCAGCCTGCAGCCAGATCACCAGAGCAGAGGCGGTGTGGGAAGACTGGCCCTTCTCTCTGGTGCGGGCCCTGGGGGTGACCTGGCCTCTCCCATCCCTCTGAAAGCCAGCTCTCTGCAGCCCAGCTTGTCTGGCCTGCTGTGTATTGCTGACATCGCTCCTGGTCTGAATGGTAAGGAAGTGAGCTGTCTCGCAGGGAAATTAGAAGCTACGGCCACCATGATTTCCTCCTTAGCAACCCTTGATCAGAGAAGCACACTCGTCTGTCTGTCTGTAAGTCACACAGGCTCACTCCTGGTTTGAGGTTCTGCAGGTTTCTGGCCACAGCATTTGGCCATCACGCGGTGCAGGAGTATCCAAAGTATATCACCCTCCTGGGGGCGTGTTGATGTTGATGGTTTACGGTGAAGTGAATATATAGTAGCTCGCACCAGCTCACAGTGGGAACTAGCTCCCACACAGGTTGTCGGCTGCTAACTGCAGCCTGGAAGAGCCTGCGGCAGCTGAGAAACCACCCTTGTCTTCCCCACCGAGCGTGTCTATCAGAAAGCACCTGATTCACCGGGATGTAATTATAAGGATAACGCAGACCTATTCTGCCTCACTTACAGAAGAAATCGTACAGCATTCCCAAGCCACTGAGCTAACCAGTGGCTATGTGGTTCATGGTTCTTTGTTGAAGAGCCACAGGGTGCTGTACCCACCCTGACTTGGGGACATATTTTCAGAGCAGGGGCCAGTGAGACTTCTGGGCTTGGTTCCAGTGGACCCCAGAGGACATCTCCATTTGGGAACATAAGGGGGCCCCTCAACAAGACGGACACAGCCACAAACTTCCCCCCGGGATGGCGATCAGCTGGAATGAGGGCCAGCTTATGGCTCCAAAGGACAAGGCTATTGTGAGCCTCTTGGGTTCCTTTTGTGTCCAGAAAGCGGCAGCCCAGTCATGTCGACTGGCGTACACAGACCGAAGAGAAAAGCCTGCCTTCTCTCTGAGGGGCTGTCCCGCGAACCTCTGAAGCCCTCTGGACTGGCAAGGGATCACTCTAGTAAACGAGACACCATTTGACAATCAGCACCCTATGCCTGCAAAACAGCAGGGAAGGGGCTTTCACCTCCTCCGCAGCGGCTGTGTGGGCCTCTCCTGCAGGTAAGCAGATGCCCCATCCCTCCCAATGGGACAAAGTCAGAGGAGGCTAGGTGGGCAGCCTGGACTGCCATTACTATCAGTGGGCGACAGCTGTCTCTCTCAACCATGGCCCCCTGGTAATGTCAGTGGGCCCCCACTCTCCGCAGTGAGTCGGGGGAGCCCTCACCCCCAGGGCATCTAGACCTGGACCCCTCTCCACTGCAGTCACTGCCACTCCCCCTTGCCCACCAGGTCAGCTCTCTCAGAAGCCTGCTAGCACCGAAGATTTTAATCAGATGGTGCGTATTCCTGCCCCCCAGCCCCCAGCAGTTAGGACTGCAATGAAAATCACCCCTCCTGCCAAGCCCCCAAAGACGTCTCCGTGGTAGAGAAAGGACGGTCAAAAAGAAAAAGCAACAGACACTAGCGCCAAGATGGCACAGGTGTCGGAATTACCTGACAGGAATCTTAAATCCGCAAGCGTGCATGTGCGTGAAGCCAGTGAGAGCACGGTGTTCAGAGTGAACTACCCCACACGTGGACACACGGTTTATTCTGAGCTGCTGTTCTGCGTGCATATAAGCCACTTCTGATTCCAGAAAAATAAGTGGCTCCGAGAAGCTCAACCCAACCCACCGCCATCGGCCAGATCCCGGTCATTAGCACCCTCGGAGAACAGAGTAGGATTGAACTGTGCTCCCGGCGGTCAGCGGCTGATGTTGAGGAATGAGATCACCAGGCCTTTCTTCCAAGGTGCCTCTGGGTAAGCTGGCACCTCCCGTCTGTGGGTTAGCAGCTGACTTGCTTTCACAGGGCTGCCACAACAAGAATACCATACGTAGGTGAATTGCGAGAAGGAAGAGACATCTCTTTTCTCACAGTTAAGAATCTAAAAGGCCAAATGCAGGTTCTTTCTCTCCTATTCATTCTAATCTACGTATCTATCATTTATCTATCTGTCTATATCCGTCTATATCTGTCTATCTATATGTATCTCTCTCTCTCAGTGTCTGCAAACCTGACATTCCCAGGCCATCTCCGCCTATCACGTCTATCTCCCTCAATCTGGGCTCACGTGCTCTGTGTCTATTTTGTTTTTACATCTCGAGAGGGTTGCACACACCCTCCGCTGATGTGCCTCGTTAGCGTCACAGCAGGGTCACCCCACACTAACCGACTGGGAGCCCCGTGGTGAAGAGCTGGGCGGCTCACCTCAGGGCCAGCTGTTCAGACTGTCCACTCCTCGGGAGAAAGGCGGGGCTTTCAGTGCTGTAAAGAGTTGCAGTCTCAGAAACCCACGGGCCATTCTACCCTGTAACCATGAGGCAGCATCATAGCAGTGGAAGAATTCCAGCAGTCCATTGATCCAGCCCACTTGAGTCGATTCTGATTCATAGTGACCCTATGGGGCAGAGTAGAACTGTCTCCTGGGGCTCCTGACTGTAACTCTCTATGGAAGCAGGCTGCCTCATCTTTCTCCCTCTGAGTGGACAGTGGGTTCGAACCCCTGATCTTACCGTCAGCAGCCCAACATTGGCTTCATTACAGCGCAGGCTCCTTCTACAGATGTAAGAATTAGGCTTCCAACACATTCTTGGGACACACAACTTGTGCCCACTACAGTACATTCAGAGGTGGTTCCAGATTTCTGAATCAGAGCTGATGACTGCTCCCACGACTGTCACGGCATCCAGCCAGCTCCTGGGCGAACGAGGTGCTTCCAGGACGTTAGCACGTGGAAAGCAGCTCTTCTTACTTACAAGGGGACAGGGTCAGCAGCACTCCAGGACAAGGACGGATCCATCTGAGTGCCCTGTGACTCACAGAGGCTGTCAGGTGGAGGTGACAGCCCTTCTAGACATGCCCCACTTTTAACCATAGACTTACAGGAGCCTGCTCTCGGTCGGGCCCCTTGGCCAGGTAGGCTTCGTCAGGGAGCTGCTGGAGCGTAACAGCCACCCACAGAGCTTGAGTGGCATATAATAGTGAGCTTTTATTTAGCGCAGGCGTCTGGGGTGATCAATGGTGCACGGACTTGAGCAGAGGGTGCTGAGGTTCAGCTGAGCTAGGCCCCACAGGGCCCTCACTCCTCCTGGGACCTCAGAGAGGGCCTGAGAATGTCATTCCCCCAGCACTGCCTTGAGTACCGTGAAGGCGGGGCTGTTAGCAGACACACTTTCCAAGCCCTCGGTTATCGGTTGTCCCCTGGCATCTCATTGCCCAAGAAGCAAGTTAAGCCACCAAGCCAAAAGTTAGCGTCGACGTGTGGGGACAAATAGAAACTCCGCCGGCCCAGGTGGAGAGAGGAGGAATGCCATCTAAACAGCCCTCTAATTTGCAGTGCCTACCAATGGGGACAGCACCTGTCCCCAGGCGTGCACAGCCTGGCACGGTGCCTGGCACGTGGCTGTGGCTAGCTGCCTGGAGGCTAGTTGGCCCTGATCAAGGTAGCTCTGTGCACAGTGGAGTGAAATCCCACTCTTTCCTGTACCAGCCCGTGATTGGGTGGGAGTCGGACTACTGGGACTCGGGGTTTGTCTTGGCGGATTTTTGGAAGTAGTCTGCCGTCTTAGCCCAAGAGCTCCACCAACAGGCCAGGTCTCCTGCAAGGAAGAGCATTCCCTCGCAGACCCACCACTGGCCTCCTCGGGCATATAGTAGGAGCTTGTGAAGCAGTGGCTCTCAACCTTCCTGATGCCGCCGCCCTTTCATCCAGTTCCTCACGTTGTGGTGACCCCCCCACCAACCATAAAATTATTTCCCTTGCTGCTACTTCACTGTCAGTTTGCTCCTGTGATGAATCATCATGTATCTGATAGGATGTATTTCCATTGTTACCAATTGAGCTTCATGAAAGCATAGGGATTCATCACAAAAGCAATAGGTAATTCTGTATTGTGAAATATTCAATGAGATTTTGTCTTGAAGCAGGGTGTAGCATGGGTAACAGTCTTCATGCCAGGTACTCGTGTATGCTCGGACCCACATGGAGACGGATAAAGGAGGAGCGGTGTTGCGGTTCCCAAGACCATCAGAAACAGGTGTTTTCTGATGATCTTAGGCGACCCCTGTGAAAGGGTCATTCGACCCACCCATCCCCTAAAGGGGTCGCCACCCACAGGTTGAGAACGGCTGCTGTCAAGTCCAGACAGACGGTACCAACACCTTTCCTTTTTTTTTTCTTTCTCTTATCCCCCACAGGCCTCAGCTGACCCCCAAGGTTCCTGTGGGGATGGGTGAAGCCCAGGGGGCCGCCTAGGGCCCCCGGCGTCGGTGCGAAGATGCACCTGTCGGCCGTGCTCAACGCCCTGCTGGTGTCGGTGCTGGCGGCCGTGCTCTGGAAGCACGTGCGCCTCCGCGAGCATGCGTCCACGCTGCAGGAGGAGCTGGCGCTCGGCCGGCAGGCGCCCGAGCCCGGCCTCGCGCTGAGGATCGACTACCCCAAGGCCCTGCAGAGGCTGGCGGAGGGCGGCACGCACATGGTGTGCACGGGCCGCACGCACACCGACCGCGTGTGCCGCTTCAAGTGGCTCTGCTACTCCAGCGACGCCGAGGAGTTCATCTTCTTCCACGGCAACGCCTCGGTCATGCTGCCCAACCTGGGCGCCCGGCGCTTCCAGCCCGCCCTGCTCGACCTGTCCACCGTGGAGGACCACAACACCCAGTACTTCAACTTCCTGGAGCTGCCCGCCACCGCGCTGCGCTTCCTGCCCAAGCCGGTGTTCGTGCCCGACGTGGCCCTCATCGCCAACCGCTTCAACCCCGACAACCTCATGCACGTCTTCCACGACGACCTGCTGCCGCTCTTCTACACGCTGCGCCAGTTCCCGGGCCTGGCGCGGGAGGCCCGCCTCTTCTTCATGGAGGGCTGGGGCGAGGGCGCCCACTTCGACCTCTACAAGCTGCTCAGCCCCCGGCCGCCGCTGCTGCGGGCGCAGCTCAAGACGCTGGGCCGGCTGCTGTGCTTCTCCCAGGCCTTCGTGGGCCTCTCCAAGGCCACCACCTGGTACCAGTACGGCTTCGTCCAGCCCCAGGGCCCCAAGGCCAACATCCTCGTCTCGGGCACCGAGATCCGGCAGTTCGCCCGCTTCCTGACCGAGCAGCTGAATGTGAGCGGTACGGGGCCTCCCCTGGGCGAAGAGTACATCCTGGTCTTCAGCCGCACGCACAACCGGCTCATCCTGAACGAGGCGGAGCTGCTGCTGGCGCTGGCCCAGGAGTTCCAGGTGAAGACGGTGACCGTGTCTCTGGAGGACCATGCCTTCGCGGATGTGGTGCGGCTGGTCAGCAACGCGTCCATGCTGGTCAGCATGCACGGGGCGCAGCTGGTCACTGCCCTCTTCCTGCCGCGGGGGGCCACGGTGGTGGAGCTCTTCCCGTTCGCCGTCAACCCCGACCACTACACGCCCTACAAAACCCTGGCCCTGCTGCCCGGCATGGACCTGCAGTACGTCGCCTGGCAGAACACGCTGCCCGAGAACACGGTCACGCACCCGGAGCGGCCCTGGGACCAGGGGGGCATCGCGCACCTGGAGCGGGCCGAGCAGGCCCGCATCCTGCAGAGCTCAGAGGTCCCGAGGCACCTGTGCTGCCGGAACCCGGAGTGGCTCTTCAGGATCTACCAGGACACCAGGGTGGACATCGCATCCCTCATGCAGACCATCCGGCGGGTGGTGAAGGGCCGGCCGGGGCCCCCGAAGCACAAGTGGACCGTTGGCTTCTACCCGGGCAAGGTACGGGAGGCGCGATGCCAGACGTCGGTGCAAGGCGCCTCCGAGGCCCGCCTCACCGTCTCCTGGCAGATCCCCTGGAACCTCAAGTACCTGAAGGTGCGGGAGGTGAAGTACGAGGTGTGGCTGCAGGAGCAGGGCGAGAACACCTACGTGCCTTACATCCTGGCCCAGCAGAACCACACGTTCACCGACGGCATCAAGCCCTTCACCACCTACCTGGTGTGGGTCCGCTGCATCTTCAACAAGAGCCTCCTGGGACCCTTTGCAGACGTGCTGGTGTGCAGCACGTAGCCAGCGGGCCCTGGTGGGGCCTTGGGAGGGGGACTCCTCCTGCCCAGCCCTCCCTGAGCTGCCCCCTGCCCCACTGCTGTGGTACCCGGGGTTGATGGATTTATTTATTTATTGGGAAGGCCTGGCCCAGGGCAAGGCCACAGCGTCCTCGCTTGCATCTGGTGTGTGATATGGGACTGTCCCGCGCCACCCCCCCATCCATCTCCCCACCTAAGCATCCATCCACCTGTGTCAGTTCTTTCGCGGGGTGGGGGCAGGAGAACGCCCAGGTCACCCCTTTGCTGAGTGACCCTGCCCTTCCCGGAGGAGCCCTTTCTGGTTAGCCTCTAGGTGCCTGGAAACAGAGCAGTCAAGGATGAGGGGTAGGTGGCTCATCCATTTCCATCAGTATGAAATTCGCCTGTAGCCCAGTGGAGGGTGTATTTGGAACATTCATTAAATGGTGATAAACATCTTGGCCAAGACTGTCTTTGGAGGATCGGAAAGGGGGGCAGGGGTTAGTCGTCAATGGCCAGACAGAAAAGCAAGCAAGCTTCCATTGAGTGCGTCCCAACACACGGAGACCCCGCAGGCCTCAGAGTAGAGCTGCACCCCAGGGGTTTTCCGAGGCTGTGGCCCTTCTGAACGAGATCACCAAAGTGTGCGCCTAAGGTACCCCTGGGCGGGTTTGAACCACCAACCTCCATGTTGGAGCCCAACACTTGACTATTTGCACCCGCTGGGTATTCCTAGTCAGCCCGACTACCCTTTTTTTCTGGTTGGCAACTGTGTTTGGCCGGGTTGACCAGAGAAACAAATCCAGGGGCACTCTGTGTAAGAGAGAGCTTGACATCAAGAAGTGATTGTGTATCAAGCAAACATCCCAGCCCAGTGAAGATCAAGTCCCTATGTCCAATACTAGCCCACAAATCCCTCCTCAGACTCACGCAGCCACACGCAATGATGCAGAACGCAGGAAGATCACCAGCGGTGGGTGCAGAGTCTTGTAGAGCCAATGGCAGTGGACACATCTCCAGGGCTCTGGCTGCAGTCAGCGTGGTGTGGTTCGAAGCTGCTCGATAGGAAGGTGAAGACAAGACACAGAGTGGGGGTGGGTGGAGGTTCCCAGGACCCTCCTCATGAGAGGGCCACACCCATAAGGAGGTACCTTCAGGCTGTGACGCAATTGACAGGCTAGACTCCACCCCTTCACTCTTAACCAAGTCGACACGGGACTGCCACCGCATCCACAGACACAAGTCTGCAGGTGAGCGCCCTGGGACGGTGAGCTAAGGAGGCAGGTCGCTGGCTGAACACTATGCCCCTGTCAAGTGGGAGAGAAGCCTCGGAGTGGATGTAGCTGGGTGAGGGAGAGCACTCGCCACCGGAACCCTCCTGAGGACAGTGAGCCTCGCAGGGCCTGTTGGCCTCAGATTGAAGGCATAGGACAGGATGCCCACCTGCAGCAGCGCTCAACTACGGAGGCATCCTCACTCCAGCCAGGGCCCGTCCTGTGCCCTCTTCCTGCAGGTTCCTGCTGGCCTGTGAGGAGGGACCCTCTCCGTGGCTGCGAGGGATTGGAAACCCCACATCCCATTGCAGAACCATCTTGTTACAGCCACTGTCAGAGTCCCCAGGGTCCTAAAGGGACAGGCCCTGTTGGTAAAGTCATATTGAGGGAAGCCATGAGTCCAGTGCCCTGCCACATCACCTGCCCATTGTCCTCCCAGGCCAGATGTTTCCCAGGCTGCCTACCCCCGGGATCTCGGCCTGTGCCTGGCTTCGGTGGGCACTGTGGTCCACTCAAGATCAGCCTCAGCCCTCGGAAAAAGAGAGCTTGTTGTTGTTACCTTTTGTTCCCGGGGACCCCCTGCCGCAGATCCCGCTCGGCAGGGAGGGCGGAGACGGGCAGAGCAGGGAGCATGTCGGGCATCAGAGCGGATCTAAGGGAGCTTCACCAGGTAGAGCAGGAGCGCTTGAGCCGGTCATCCACTAAAGGAGTGTCCCTGTGGCACCTGGTCATTAGACGAGCCTCTGGCAAGGGTGACTTCAGCGCCCAGCAGCTGGGCCTGTCCCTACATGCTCTGCGGCAGGAGCTCTGCAGAGAGGAGCGAGCGTTGTGGCTGCCGGGCCTCCATGGCCATCCTTGCGCCCACAGCCGCTTGCTCCCCAACCTAACTTCCACCCTTCCCCACACAGGACGACTTGGCTCAGAAGCGGAGCTCAGACACCACTGGTGCCGAGGCGGAAGGACACACCACTGAGAACGTGGTGGTCCCCACGAAGGCCAAGCACCCTGTATTTCAGCAGTTCCACGTCAAGATGCATGGCCAAGGGAGATGCGTGCTTACAAGACATGTATTGGAATGTCTTTGTATCCATCTGAGTCAATGAGGAGGAGGCCATGTCTGCCCTCGGGTGGCACAGGGAGGAGAAGCTAACTCTCCCAGTCCACAGTCCACGGCCGATGGCCACAGGCAGAGCTCTGTCAGGCATGCCCCCACCATCCCTCTTCACCCTGTTCAGACACCAGCTTTTCCTCCACGGCACCCTGCTTCTCTACGCGGTTTGATAATCTGTTGCATCAGCCACACACCACTCGATGAAGGGGGTGTGTTTGTCCAGGTTAACTAAAGAAACAAATCCAGGGACACCCATAGATATTTAAGAAAGAGCAATTGTATATTGAGAAAACATCCCAGTCCAAATCAAATCCATAAGTCCGATATTACCCCATATGTCCGATACTAGTGCATACATTCCTCTTTAGACTCACGCAGCACACGCGATGACACTGAATGCAGGAAGGTCACAGGCCGGTGGGAGGAAAGCCTTGTGGAGCCAGTAGTGGTGGAAGCATCTCAGCGCTGGCGTGGGTCTCCTCCAGTTCTCTGAGTGTCTCTGCAGCAGGAGAGGGAAGGCAGAAAGCGTGTGTGTCCGCCTCCAGGGAGGAAGAGGGGGAGTTCTTAGAATCCTCATTGTTAGGCCCCACCCACAAGGAGACATCTTTAGGCTGGGACTTGACTGGCAGGGTAGGCTCCACCCCTCCATTCTTGGATCAAGTTGACATGAAACTGTAACCACCACAGGGTAGTTGTTAGAAAGCTAACCAGTTACCAGAATCAGGACGCATTAAGGGTACATTCCTTGGTCCACAGCAGTGCCTCTCCTCACCCAGCAATCAAGTCTCTGGGCCTTGAAGCTCTGCCTTCGTGGACCAGAAGCCCGCCCACTGCACTGCCTCCAGTCTCCTGCTGCCCCTCTGTTCTGTCTCACTGTCCCCTTGCCTCGGCCTCTGAGCTTGGCCTGGCTCCTTTACTCTGGCCTGTGGTCTGTGCCGCAGCCTCTGGTGCCTCTGGTCCTGCCTCTGCCCCTTTAGACAAAAAGATCTGATCCTGGGCCTGTTTCTGAGATGGCTCATTCACAGAGCCAGGAGAGCGGCAGCTAACACTGGCCAACCACCCCGCCCCCCGCTCTTTGCGTGTCACATACCCTGCAGGCAGGGGCCACCGCATCATTTGGTGAGGACAACGGAGACATTCTCCAGGTCAAGTTTCCCGCCACCCCAACTGAAACAAAAACCCACGGCCGCGAGTCAATTCCCACGCCTGGTGGCAGAGTAAAACTGTTTCCAAGCCTCTAAATTTCCACCCAAGCAGACTCATCTTCGTCCCTAGGAGAAGTTTAAACAAACAATGTTGCATTAGCAGCCTCACCCACGGTGCCATCAGGATGCCTTAGCAGACACTTAAGATCCACCCAAAGAAAAACCCTGCTCTCAGGCCTATTATAACCCAAAGGGTTTCTGAGACTGAATGTTCAGGGGAGCCGATAGCCTTGCCTCTATCCTGCAGAGTCCCTAGTGCAGCAGTTAACCTGTGGGTCCAACGACCCTTTCACAGGCACCGCCCGATTCATCACAGTAGAGAAATGACAGTGATGAAGTAGCAACGAAAATAATTTTAAGGTTGGGGGTCACCACTACACGAACTGTATGGTCGTGGCATTAGGAAGGTTGAGAAACCATTGCACTAGTGGGTTTGAACTGCTGACCTTAGGGTTATCAGCCTAACACCTACCCAACAGCACCACTAGGTCTCCTTAACAGAAACTCAGTACCCCTTAAATAAGACCTTCCCATTTCCTCCTCCCACCCGACCGCTAACTCGAATCAGCTCTAGTCTCTGGGCCCTTGCCTGTTCTGTACATTTCCAGGAAGAAGAATCACATCATCTGCCCTGTGCCTGATGTAGCTTTGTCCCCAATCGCCCCAACTGTCAGCTCGCACCTGTCCATCAACTGGTGCGTCCACCCAATGGACCTGACAACAGCAGCAAAGAGAGGGCACATGCGACATGGGTGTGAGTCTCTGGGATCGTGCAGGGTGCTGGGTGAAAGCCAGCTTTCCATTCCAGACACAGAGACCAGGACAAGGAGCCGTTGATTCTCTAGGCGGCTCATCTCAAGGTTGGCTGTTTGAGACCACTGGCCCCTCCATGGGAGAAAGATGAGGCTTTCTACTCCTGTAAAGAGCTATAGGCTCAGAAGCTCACTGGGGCAGTTCTACCCTGTTGCCGTGAGTCAGAATGAACGTTGGTGGCAGGAGTCCTGGTAGACATGGGGCTGCTAACCACGAGGCCAGCATGTGGAACTCACTAGCCGCTCCACAGGAGAAAGGTGAGGCTCTCTGGTTCTGTCAAGATGAACAACCTCAGCAACCCACAGGGCAGTTCGACTCTGTCTTGTGGGGTCACCTTAAGTCAGAATTGACTCCGTGGCAGTGCGGTGAGGGGTCTTTCTGGATCGCAAAGAAAAAGCCTACTCCTCTCTTCTGGAGAATCCAGCTTCCCCTCTCTGGCTCTCCAGGTAACAGACCAACCACACCCACTTGCCCTCAGCTCCGTGGGTGCCCTGCCATCCTCCCAGGAGCTCACGGGCCACTCGGGCCGTCTGACAACCACGTGAATACGTAGCGTCTCCAAACGTCAGGACCATGACCCCAAGTTCCTTCCAAGTCTGAGGTGCTCTGTTCAGATGAAGCACATCTCGAGATGTGCTAAGTATTTACCAGTCGACGGGATGTAGAGGAGAGGCAGGAAGGGTGCCGTCGTGTTTGGGGGCAAGGTCTCCAGTTGGAATCCCGGCTCCCGGGAGAACTTTGTGACCCTGGGCAGGTGGTTCAGTGTCCCTGTCTGCTCAGCTGCCCATAGGGAACAACCTGCCCACCTCATGGAGATGTTGT